ATGGGAGGATTCTCTAATTCTATCCGACAGACGCTACAGCAATTGGTGCAGTGGAGCATTCACCCAACAATGGACAGGATGCCTCCCGCGTACACCCATCGACAGATGTTGGTGGCGATGAAACTTCTTGGTGCAAAACGTTTACTGCAGCTCCTTTACGAAGACATCAGACAACAAACAGAAACGGGCAGCGGGAGCATCATTTACGATGTGGCAACAGCATTAGTCTGCGCGCCCGACGTGGTGAACACGCCGTCGAACCCGATCAACTTTATCGACAATTCAGGCAATGTACCGGCTCCCATCCAGAGGAAGCTTACTCTGCGAGAGGTTCTGAAGTCAGATGCCGAGGAGTGTAAAAAGCTGCAGAAGGTCGACATGAACCTTGCCGAGATTGTTGTGAGGCTGTACCGCAAGGTAGAGACTCAGATGGCCGTATCCCAGGCTGAGGTCATCCAAGCAGACACCATGCTGCAGACTGATCTCGGTCTGAGCTTAGACGCTGGCGCAGGCTCACTCGACGATGCCATGGCTGCCGCGGCTGCCAATGTTGCGCAAGGCGACGGGATGTCTGTGGACAACGTCAGTCTCGATCTGGGCCTAGGAGGTGTTGGCGGTGATCTTGGTCTCGGGGGCTCATCGAACAATGGTGGAGGGTCACTGGATCTCGGTGCCGACGACCTCTTCAGTGGCCTCGGTGCTGGTGACGATTTTCAATGGGACAACATGGACCTATCTTAGTGGACCTATCTTAGCACGGGGGGGGCATGTTCTCTTGAAATAATAGGCCTGCGGCAGGATCTCATTGGTATACATGGAACTACAGAGGATCAACGACGAGGCCTTGGCCTCATAGAATAGTACTGCATATTGTATCAGATACCATCAAAAAGTATTTCCCAAATTCATCCACTTCTTGGTTCGTTCATTTGGCCTCCGGCCAGCTACCAATAATGAACTGTGAGTTGCACATATTTGTAAGCTCCCAATCCTCGGCCCCCATCTCAGCCTTCATCGCCACGTCTCCCCGGTCTCCGCACAAGCCTCCGATGAACATGGTGGCCATGAAATGATCATCCGTAGCATGCGCCTCGCGGTACATGGGATGCTTCATCAAGCTCGTCACCTTGCGCCTCAAGAGCGGCCCGCCGCACGGCTTCTTGCCGCGGATGGCCTTGCCGTAGACGGCCTGGTCGGTGGGGACGTCCTCCTCGTACGCGGGACAAAAGGCGTCAATGACCTCCTGGCGGAAGTCCAGCGCCCAGGGCTCCGGGGGCGTAGGCTGGGCAAAGTTGTCGCGGAACTTGAGCATGGGCGCCCAGTTGTTCCGGTAGAGGTTGTGGACGGAGCCGCCAGAGCCGATGAAGAGCGTCTTGTGCTTGGCGGCTCTCAGGGGCCGCAGGGCGGCGCCGACGGCGACGTGGAAGTGCGGGTCGTAGAAGTCGTTCATGGAGATGAGCGTCGTCGGCGGGCAGCCGGCGGGGAACATGCGGATGAGGACGAGGTAGGTGTCGTGGATCCAGTCAAAGGTCGGGTCCGTCTTGGCGGGGATTCCGGCGGCGGCGAGGTGCTGCTGGATCGTGGGGATGTAGTCGAGGTCTGGGTTCAGTTTGTAGGGGTGGTATTTCTCAGGGTTAACGTAGGCGACTGGTGACTTTGCGGGCGTTGGGTGGGCTGAGATGAGGACCTCACCGGGGGCGTTTGTGGCCCAGTGGGCTCCCTGATGGTCGTTGTGAGTTGAGTTGCTTCCATGAGATATGAGATGGTAGGGAGAGGAGCCTACTTACCATCATGACAATGTGTTCGATACCCTGGGCGAGGGCTTCATCGCCGCACTTCTTCCAGTACGTGGCCGAGTTGCTCTCCTCGCCGAGCATCATTGTTGATCCATGCGCGAACAGGAATACGGGGTTCATTGGCCCCTCATCTTTGGATCCCACAGCCATGATCTGATTGCTATCTGGGTTCTCAACTCGTCCGTCTGAGCTGATTGAAGTAAGGCAAGCGAGTAATTGGATGTCTACGCAGCAGAGTATGGGTCACGAAGATGAGCAACGGTCGAAAGCCGCCTTCTTAGCACTCGGAAGCTGATGAGACTTAAGACACTGAGATGGTTATCTTTCGCCTGTGTAAGGAATCGGCTGGTGGAGGATAGGTTTTGCCGCCAAAGTTCGTTAGGAAGTCGATTCGAACGGCCCCATTTACGGAAACTGGTCTGAGGACGATAAAACGTTCCATTGTCGAGGACGCCTGGGTGGCCTGCCCGAGCTTGGAGTAGGTGGTGTTGGCGCTGGAGTGTCGGAGAATCAGCGGGACCAAGACCTGGGGTAAAGCTGGGGCCGATGGGGCCGGGGCGGGCACTTAGGAGTCTCTCCACTTCCCGAGCCGAACCCGAGCCGGGGAAAGTTGCCGAATACTGTTTGCTAAGGTAAAGGTAGGCAAGTGGTGTGTTCGGGACTCTGACAGGCGTGACAGGGTTCAACCTCAGTCTGTTTTCCAACTGTTGAATTCCTCAATGGCACTTCTTGGTTTCCCTCATCGTATTTGCGGCGAATTACTAAGCGGCATGAGTCCGGGAATGAGATGATTCAATAGCCTGATCTGTCGACCGCTCGTAATATGCCGAGAAGAGTTTTATGGAAAAGACGAGTGTGATCGAGTAGCATGCATGTAAACTAGAGGTACATGATATGATATGGTATGATACATATTGAGATTTACGACTGTCCTCCGGCGTAGGACGATAGTTTAACCCCTCAGTCTCAGCGCATAATCAAATACCCGCCTTCCGCCAATCCATGTGCCGTATGCAAGACTCGGAAGTACAACGCTCATGATCAGACCGGCACCCAGCACGAACCCTTGCTCGAAGAAACCCAGTCTGCTATTGCCTGGCTGGTTGGTCGGGCGCAGCGGTGCGACAGCCAGGGCATGCAGATTCTGGGCGGTGATGGCGCCGGAGCTGGTGAGGAGCTGCTCCAGTTTCGCGAGCGCACCGACGGGCTTCTCGACGAAATGCGGCCGGGCAACGGAGAACATTTCTCTACTGTAGCGGAATTCAAAGGCTACTTCGTGGGAGAGCGGTGCTGCCGGGCCAAGGAGGAGGTTCGAGGGGATCTGGTTGATGACGGAGACGTGGGCGGGGAGAAATTGGGAGAGGTACTTTGCTGCATCAGGGCTGGCGAAGAGATAGGCGGCTAAGAGAGGGTTCCTAGTCAAATTAGCAAAAAACCTTGATTTGACTGATGAGGATTAGCTCACTCGAATTCATGAGTGTAAATAGAGTCTACAAGACCAGAAGAGGTCGTGATAGGCAGAAAGCGCCCACTGATCTTGATGTTCAAGAGGGAGGCATTCCTGATTGAATCAGCATCTTCGTCAACTACAAGTGAGTGAGATCCCAACTTACCTGTCTTGTATATCAACCAGCTTGAAGTCTTTGGACCCAAAGCTCGAGGCAAGTCTCTTGTCCTCAGCCTCCTGTACTGCCTTCCTCGTTTCGTCGCTGGCGCTGTCACTCGCACGCTTTACTGTAGTCTCACGGGCAAACGCGAGCGAGGCATACTTTGAGCACGCCTCGAAGAACTCCTTCTTCACGAACTCATTCACGAGAACTAAGTCTGGCGCATAAGGCGACTGACCGCCGAAGCTGAAGCGCGCCGCCGTGATAGCCTTGGCAGCGGCCTCAATGTCCGCTGTTCGGTCAACTATAGCAACGGTGCGTGCGCCATTGGCGGAAATGAGATGGTTTGCGCGACTAGCGTTCGGGGTCGCTGTGTTGGTTTGATCTACTAGGATTGCCTGTGACAGTAATGTTTCGTCTGTGATCTTCTTGGCGATGCAGAAGGCATTCTGATTGAGGGCACGCGTAAGGACGTTGCGGAGGACGGAATCTAGCTGCGACAACGTATCTTCGAGCTGTAGGCCTTCCTGTCAGCTTCTGATACAGGTGAGCCAATGTTGCAAATTATCAGGCGTACCTCGAGAACAACAACAGAGCCGGCAGCCAGGGCCGCAGCAAGTGGACTCAGAATAGAGAAGAGCCTGGTGTAAGTGGTCGGCCGAATGATCACCAGTCCGGCACCGGTCCTTCTGCTCGTGTTATCCTTGCCATGAGCAACCAGATACTCGGCCTCAATCTCCTTCGAGAAGTTTAGAGACTCGTAGAAATGTCGCACAGCTTCCAGTGCGAGGAAGTGCTCGGCCTCGATCTCTGTCTTTGATGCGCCGGTATCCTTCTCCTGGGCGGCAGTCAGGGCCGCGGACTCTTTGCGCAGCTCGTTGTGGAGGCTGATGAGGTTATCCTGGCGGAAGCGAATGACTTCGGCGCGCCCGTCGACGAGCGTTACGAGCAACTTCTCTACAGCAGGATTCATTGCGGTGATGTTTTGGAGAAGTTCGGGAGGATGACAAGCACTCGTTGACAAGTAGATGGTAGAGCGACTCGATTGCAACGAAAAGTTGAAGGTGCGACGATGGAATAATGTGCTATCTACAAGACCTGAGCTCGCTATACACAAGCTCATATCGGAATCATGGGCAGATCCGATGAACTCGGCAAGCTCAAACATCTGTCCGCGGACCGTAACCTTCGTTTGAGCTAGGCCCCGGCTTGTTGGAGGGGCGGAATGTGGAGGACAGGGGTGCTAGTCGTTTCTCGACATTCGTTGCTTGCGGGTTGACTAGGATCTGGTAGGCGGCAGCCTCCAAACCGACGCTTGCCACAGGTCTCATTGGTTCTCTCCGCACTTCCGACGCAGGCGTATCCGCAGGTTCATGGTAAGGTTGATCGGGTGGCGCGGGCTCTTGGGAAGGGACGGGTCGACGGTCGGCATATTGAAGCGGTGCCCTGCCTCCTCGTGTCGAATTTCTGAGATAGGCATCTCCAATTCTCCAAGGCCATCTCTACCATTTCTTGTCGAAGTTGTCTGAGTTTCAACAGATTTCGCTTGTTCATCATCTCACCACACACATACGCAAAGACAATAAACAAGGACATCATGTCGGCAACTGTCACAGAGAACCCTGTCACGACGACAATCCAACGAGACTACCTCCACGACTATCAGATTCGTCTCACTGGAGGCGTTGAGGAAGCCTTCGCGAGAGGCAATGCGGATGCTCCATCGCCAGCAGCAGTGAACCCGCCCGGATGGTACGACCAGCACCGCCAGGTCCCTCCATACAGGCCGGCGAACACGAATATGGATATAGCAGACAGGCCATGGGGGTCAAATGGCATCGAGTCGGCCTTTGTGTTTGTCATGTTGAATGGGTGTTGGCTTCAAGGGGTGAGTAAAATGTGCAATCGTCGTTCGCGGCGCATGCAAAATGGGTGAAGGTGAGCATGCTGACATGAGTCCATCAGGTTACCAACTGGCTCTGGAGGTCGACGGGTGGAAGAGTGAATAAGGATATTTTCAGGTTCAAGGTCGGTGGTGAGTTTTGATGCGCTGGTTGTGAAATTCTCAGTGAATAGTGTCGCCTTAGAGGCATGGTGGTGGCGGATGGCATCTACTCTGTGTTCAATACATTCAATGACAGCAATCCATTTTCTATGTCTGCAAGATATCGTAAACCTCCAAATCTCTCCTTTGGTTGACTCCATCGTGTGGTGGCCTGGGGCAGGGAATCTGGTGTTTGCGACGAGTATCATCTCATTTGCCTTACCATAAGGTACCTAAGGGATCATAATACGAATAGTCCGTACCGAGACGAGGTAGGAACAATACCATGCTAGCTCCGCTCGTTGGGGTCAGCCCCTCCCCCACCGTTCCGCCCGTGCGCAACAAACGCCATACACGGAGGCGGCGGCGGCAGCGATGAGGAGTAGAGGCAGAGTGAGGACCACCCGAAGTAGGCTGATGTGTGGGAGGAGGGGTCCGATCATTGAAGCATCTTGCATCATCCGCTCCATTCATCTCATCGTCGGTGAAAGAGTTCAAGTGCCCAGTCCCGCCCACCCCATTGCAATAAAACCAAGGAACGCCCCTCCGAGACTTGACATCTCCTTCGACTGAACGCCAATCACCCCCAGCCTGAGAAATATAGGCAAACATTTAGCTCCAATCACCATGTCTGTCAAGACCCCTCCCATCAAAGACCTGCTCGAGGTCACCGAGGACCAGGAGAATGGCCTCACCTTTATGAAGAACGTCTCCATCCCGCTCAAAGACTCCCCGCTCCCCATTCGCGCGAACGTCTACCTTCCGCTCACTTCGGATAAGGCCGCACGTTACCCTGTGCTGGTGACCTACGGACCATATGGCAAAGATATCCCCTATGCCAAGTTCTATCCCAAGTCGTTCAGCGAGGTTGCTCCAGATCAGAGATCCAAATACTCGGCCTGGGAGACGCCCGATCCGGTCTTCTGGACGAGCCAGGGATATGCTATCGTTCGAGCCGACGAGCGAGGACTGGGCCAGAGCCCAGGACTGTTGGATACCATGAGCCGTGGCACGAGCGAGTGCTTCTTTGACGTGGTTGAGTGGGCTGCAGATCAGCCCTGGTCTAACGGCAAGGTCGGTCTGTTGGGTATCTCGTATTACGCTGGTGCGTTGTTCCTCTTCTCAAACTATTAGCCGAGACCACTTACTCACCTACTATTCCCAGGTTCTCAATGGCGCGTTGCCGCTCGGCGGCCCAAAGGTCTTGCGGCTATCATCCCTTGGGAGGGTATGTCCGACTACTACCGCGACCGCTGCCGTCACGGCGGCATCCACTCCAATAAGTTTATCGGCTTCTGGTGGAACCGCCAGGTGCTGGTCAATCAATATGGCAGGAAAGATAGATCCAAGCTGGACTTTCCTCCAGATGGTCCTGGAGCCAGAGGTCAGGAGGACACCATTGAGGGTGACCTGCCAGAAGACGTCCTGGTAGCCAACCGCCAAGATCAGACGAAAGACAACGAAGCTAACCGCTTCCGCGACGATGACTACTACGCAAGCAAAGAATACAAGCTCGAGGACATTGAGGTTCCTGTTCTGAGCGTAGCCAACTGGGGTGGCATCCTTCTTCACCTGAGAGGCAACGTGCAGGGATACCTCGGAGCAGGCTCCCAGCTCAAGTATTTGCGCTTCATCACTGGCCGTCACGATCTCCCATTTTACTACCCCGAGGAAGTAGAGCTACAAAAGAGTTTCCTCGATGCATTCTTGAAGGGTGAAGATAGAGTCGGCTGGAGCACGCCTGGCAAGGTGCCTCCCGTGACGCTTACTCTGCGAAAGGGCAACGTCGGATTCAATGACGCCGAGAAGGAGAAGGCGTATCCCAAGAGAGAGGAAGCTGCTTGGCCAATTCCGCGAACAGATTACACCAACTTCTATCTGACGCCTGACCTTGGTCTAACGACAAATGGCTCCGGCCAGGATTCCAAGACTGTCTCGTATAAGGCTTTGGGTTCCCTGGAGAACCCTCAAGTTGTTTCCTTCACGTCCGCTCCCTTTGAGCAAGAGACGGAGATCACAGGCCACGTCACGGCCCATCTTAACGTCTCGGTGACGCCCGACAACTCGGAAAATGAAACTGATATCGACCTCTTCGTGACCCTGCGCCACATCGACCCATCCGGCCAGGAAGTCTTTTACACCGGAACAGCTGGCGACCCCGTGCCGCTCGTCAAGGGCTGGCTGAGAGTGAGCAATCGCAAGGTGCACGACGAGAGCCCCACGCACAAGTCCTGGCTGCCGCATAGAGAGTACCTCTCCACAGACGTCCTGCCAGTCAAGGCTGGAGAGGTCTACGGCGTAGACATCGAGGTCTGGCCGACAAATGTCGTTGTCGACAAGGGCGGCAAGATCATCTTCGAGGTTAGCAGCGGCGACACCCAGGGCAGCGGAATTTTCCAGCACTGCTCAGAAGTTGACCGGTAAGTTCGAATTTGCTCAATTCTTTCCCCAAGGACTTTAGACTAACAACTCCACTATTCAGGCCTGCATCCAAATTCTCTGGATTGAACAATATTCATTTCGGCCAAGGCCTTGAGAACTATGTCACTCTACCCGTAATTCCTTAGAAGTAGAGAAAATTGAAGCCAGGTGCGGAGTTCTAATGCCGGAGTGTCTTACTCTCCATCATCAGCTGTGCCGAGTTTGCAAGTTGGTTTGGGCTCCGAGTCCCTGATCCGAGCCTACTACGTACCTTTGGTGGGCCGGAGTTAAAATCCGGGGCCGGTGGGGGTGGGGGAGAGCGGGGGCGCCGAGGTTGGTGGTAACTACATACCTTAGCAAACAGACATTTGAGCTCCAAGAGCTTCATCGCGCACGTGTAAAAGGAATGCAGCCTGCTGCGATACAATCAGAACCTCTCTATAGCCCAATCGAGCTTCATAAAGCCAATCATTGATACCAATCTCCCTGCCAGTATGAGTTTCTCCGAGCATTTCTCCCTTGCCAACATTCCGTACGGAATCGCCAGTGACGCGAACCATGCAAAAGGCGTAGTCACGAGAGTAGGGGACTCGGTCGTCTTCCTCTCTGACCTAAAACTCACAAATTCCGCGGATCTCAAGTCCGCTTTGTCTCAGGTCTGGCCATCTGTCCCTCTTAGTCACTTGTGAATACTAACAGCCTCAAAGCCGACCCTCAATGCTTTGGCGGCAGTAGAAAAGACCGAGCTCGGGATCCTCCGAAAGAACATTCAACAAACCCTTTCCGACGAATCGACTCTGTCTGAACATGGCGTACCGATCGCCAAGGTTCAGCTACACTTGCCAATCAAAGTAGACGGCTTCACAGATTTCTCGTGCTCCAAAGAACATCTCTTGAATGCGTCAGAGGCAGTTGTGGGCAAGGCCTCCATGCCACCCGCAGCACCGTACTTGCCCATCGGCTACAGTGGTCGGCCTTCTTCGATTGTACTTTCGGGGACGAATATCACGCGGCCGTACGGGCAATATCGTGATGGAAACAGTATTGGTTTCGGTCCCTCCAGAGCGCTTGATTACGAGCTCGAGGTGGCTTGCATTATTGGGAAACCGACGCAGCTTGGAGACCGCGTAGCTGTGACGGATGCCGACGAGCATATATTTGGTCTCGTTCTGCTGAACGACTGGAGTGGTGAGTCCCGATTTTCCTTGCAAGATGTTCTTGCGATGCTAACGGAAGACAGCTCGCGATATCCAAGGATTTGAGATGAGTCCGCTGGGACCGATGAATGGCAAGTCATTCGGGACGTCCATCAGTCCGTGGGGTAAGTCAGACTCTACTCTGTCTCGAAATTGAAAGAATGCTTGCTAACTACGTTGTAGTGATCACACTCGAAGCACTCGAACCTTTTGCAACACAACCTCCTCCGAAGGATATACCCTCGCAGCCATACTTGTTGGACAACAAGGAGAAATCGAGTTACAATATCGCCTTGAAGGCTGAAGTAGTAACTGGCGACGGGGCTACGACGGTGTGTAAGGCGCAGCTCAGCTGGATGTACTGGACGTTCCGCGACCTAGTGGCCCAGCAAACAATCAATGGGTGTAATCTCAACACTGGCGATATTCTGGCGACGGGGACGGTGTCGGGAGCCGGCGATGACGAGCACGGGTGTCTGCTAGAGATGACCAAGGGCGGCAAGGTCGGTTGGAAGACGTCCACTGGTCAAGACAGGATGTATTTGCAGGACGGAGACGGCGTGCGCATCAGCGGGCAAGCTGAGGATGGCGTGGGGTTTGGTGACTGCGTGGGGTTCATCGGGGCCGCTCGGCCGTTTGGAACAGCACAGGTCCATTTGTGAAGCGACAATGGGTCATTGGCAAGAACGAGGAGCCTCGGAAATTGAACGAGTAAGGCAGGGCTGGAATACAGATAGGGCGAAGGAAGCCGGGACCCCGGGGAGCTCCAGGATTGATTCACTATTGTGCAGCAGAAGGCGTCGACTCGAGGTTTCTTTCATGGAGGACTGAAGTCGGCTTACAGTCTGGAAGGAAAGAGCCTAGGCATCTGCCTTACATATTACTCCGTTGGTGCGCGTGTATCGAAGTGAAACTGCGGCAGCAGATTTGAGCGGCTCGGAGAACGGGAAGTTAATAAACTGAACTGCTCCGAGCCTTCGGCATTGGGCTTCCGCGGAACCTCCCTGTAAAGGATCCTTCTCTGGGCCTAGGCCATATTACCTACATAATCGTACTGTTTATACATAGCCTTCAGATCTTACCAAGGTTAAGGGAATTTCCCCCAATGTCCTCCCCCACGCTTGGTTGGAGTCTTTGGGGATGGAGGATGGGGGATTGGAGGCGCATAGACCTACCGCGGTCCGCGCTATGCCTATAGACGGAGAATTGCCATGCATCAAGAGGACCGCGGTAGGAGGGGTGGGAAAACGCGACTGTGCCTAAATGGATTGAATAGGTAAGTCTTACCCCAAAGGTCCACCTTGCATCAGCCACTTCAATGACTGTGTGTTCAGTAAATGCACGTCCCATCGCGGTTGATTTCAAGATTCAGCAACTTCTTGGACTTCTGTCTGGCTGTCGGCAAGTTCGGAGCGGGTCCGGGATCCACTTGTCCGAGGTTTATGCGCACGAATCGATGGTAATCGGAGGAACGGGCTCGTTGGCTCTGGTATCCTGGTCCCCGTCACTTGTGTCAAATGTCCCGGTCGCGTCCGATTTCATGTGGGAGTGAAAGGCAGATTAAACCCTTTTGAAGCGATTAGATGGTCCAATCGTGACCATTTGCGCAAACCGCACTTTACCGCAGCTGTCTCTACGTATCACTGCATATCTCGCGTAGGGGTTACGTAGAACAGCTTCAAACATACTTTGCTGGGTTAGTGAAGGTTCATTAGAAAGACAACACTTTGTAAGGCAATTAGCTTAGGCACCTGTTATTGCTGATCTAGAGTACCTTATAGGGTAGTAGAATAAGTAGAAGAAGGTGGGGAAGACAAAAGAAAAAGATTGGACAGAGTTCGAGGCTACAGCTCTGCAGAGAGCGCAGGCTCGGGACGGCGGCAGCTACGACAGGCGTGGCCGAGGCGGTCAGAACCCCGAGAGCGAGCTTAAGCAAGCACGCGGACGGTGCAGCGCAAATGGTGCACATGTGCGTCCCAGCTGGTCAAGTGTCTGCATGTGCATGTGGCAGTTGAATGTTCGGTGGCGCTCAGCCAAGGTTCCTACCTACTCCCGGGATACAATCGGCGATAAACCCTGCTTGTGTCTTATCGGGTTTCTTATCGGACCAATCTGCAGGGGTTTCCAAAGGGGTCAACAATGATCCGGCGCGTGTTCCTAACTCCCGCGTGCAAGGAAGAAAAAAAATTACGCCAGATGGCTGGCGATTCCGAAAAACGGGCACCAACCTTGGAATTGACTCAGGTTCTCCCGCTGTTTCTGGCCTTGTCTCTGATACCTCTTGTCTTCTGCTGTATGTCTCTGACCTGATGCGATCCGTCTGACTTCGTCATAAGGAACCCATGGTGCCTCTACCCAGGTTGTCCAAAGTATCCGTATCCGTACATAGGGACCTAAGTCAAGTTCCATCACTCCCAGCCTGAGACCTACAAGCCATTCCAAGTTTCCTGCATTCTACCTCTTGCCGCGTGCAACACCCAAAAAAGAAAAAGGTGCCTATTGTCACTAGTTCCCGGCTGCAGCAAGAAAGCCTTTTCCTGCTTCGTGTGTGTGACGAACTTCCCCAGATTGGACCCCCTTTCTGCCGGCCTGGCCTTTTACCCTTTGCTCATTCCCCCTTCTTCTGCTCCTTGTCTGCTCTGCCCACTCCCATCTGTCCCCCTTGTAATATTCAGGGCATAATACCAGAGGACCAGCAAGGACCAATACTGGAGAGGAAAGCACAAGTGCCAACGGCTCCTTCCCCATCTCCAGCTAGGCCCACGTCGGCTAAAGGCCAATCTCATCGCGTCCGCACCTGCCACCAGACTCCGTCGCGCAAGCGGCAAGAGCATCCAGGTCCACTCAACCCACAACCCACTCGAGGGCCACAGTCACCTCACCTCACCGAGCGCACCTTCTCCTCTTCTCCTACACAGGGCCCAGGAAGCGACAGCTCTCAAACCATTTCTCCTGTGCGCTCGCACTCCAACAAACCTTCCACCCTCCACATAAGCTCAATTGCAGAAGCCGCCCAAGATGAGCAAAGCAGCTGCCGTTAAGGAGGCTGTCAAGGAGAGCCTCCTTGGCGCCGAGGAGCCCGTCCAGCTGTCTGCGCAGACAAAGGCGAGATTCGTTGCCAATGCTGTCAAGGATGAGGTGTCAGGAGAGCTCTACATGGGCCCCGACGAGTTCACCAAGGCTGTTGCGCCCGAGGATGAAGATTTCGTAAGTTCGGGTTTTCACTCTAACCTCACCTTCTGCTCTTCCAATTTGTCACTGCTGCGGGAGCACAACCCAGCTCCGATATCCCTCCGATGAACCGACCACTCGATCCATTTTACTGACTCTAAACCCAACACCGCAGCACAAAATCAAGCGCGAACAGTACGGAATTCTCTTCGGCATCGCCGACCGTAAGGGTTCCGGCAAGATTACCCTCTCCGAGTGGGCCGCCTTTGAGAACCTCCTGATCAAGCCCGACGCCGAGTACGAGATCGCCTTCCGCCTCTTCGACGTCGATAGAACCGGCAATGTCAAGTACGAGGACTTCCGAAAGCTCTATGAGCTAAACAAGGGCCCCGACAGCATTCCTTTTGACTGGGAGTGCGAATGGGCCAAGTTGTACATTGGCAGCAAGAAGAAGCGCCATCACATGGACTACCCCCAATTCTCCCAGATGCTGCGTGGTCTGCAGGGCGAGCGCATCCGCCAGGCTTTCCAGCTGTTCGACAAGGATGGCGATGGATTCATTGACCCCGAGGACTTTGAGCGCATTATTCGCGAGACTTCCAAGCACAAGCTCTCTGACCACCTTCTCGAGAACCTGTCGACTCTTTGCAACATCTCGCTTGGAAGCAAGGTTTCCTACGCCAACGTTCGCGCCTTCCAGAACATGATTAAGGAGATTGATCTGGTTGAACTGATTGTGCGCCGTGCTTGCGCCAAGAGTTCCGACGGCAAGATCACAAGGACGGAATTCCTCAACCAGGCCGCCAAAATCACTCGCTTCTCCCTCTTCACCCCCATGGAAGCCGACATTCTCTTCCACTTCGCCAGCCTTGACGAGCCCTCAGGTCGCCTTGGCCTCGGCGACTTTGCCAAGGTCCTCGACCCATCATGGAGAAACGCTGCCTACGAGGCCGACGATGCTGCTTCGCAAGTTCTTGCCAAGAGCGCCGGAGCTTCCAAGGCTGTTCTCGCATCGATTCTCGAATCCGCATACAACTTTGGTCTCGGTAGTTTGGCAGGTGCCTTTGGAGCGTTCATGGTCTACCCCATTGACCTTGTAAAGACCCGTCTCCAGAACCAAAGAAGCGCCAGACCGGGAGAAAGATTGTATAAGAACTCGATCGATTGCTTCCAGAAGGTGTGGAGGAACGAGGGGCCCCGAGGCCTCTACTCGGGTGTTGTACCCCAGCTCATTGGTGTTGCGCCAGAGAAGGCCATTAAGCTGACGGTGAACGACATTGTGCGTACATACTTCACCAACAAGGAGGGCAAGATCTGGACTGGCCATGAAATTCTTGCTGGTGGTACTGCTGGTGCATGCCAAGTTGTAAGTTCACTCTCTTTTTTACTACAGTCTGGTGTAACCTGAAAGCAAGTGTGACAGAAGCTAACATTGTTTTTCACAGGTCTTCACAAACCCCCTCGAGATTGTCAAGATTCGTCTCCAGGTCCAGGGTGAGGTCGCCAAGACTGTTGAGGGCGCGCCCAAGAGGTCGGCTATGTGGATTGTGCGCAACTTGGGTCTCGTTGGTCTCTACAAGGGTGCCTCCGCGTGCTTGTTGCGTGATGTTCCCTTCTCGGCCATCTACTTCCCTACTTACAGCCACTTGAAGAAGGATCTCTTTGGCGAGTCTCCGACCAAGAAGCTGGGAGTTGTCCAGCTGCTTACCGCTGGTGCCATTGCTGGTATGCCCGCTGCCTACCTCACCACCCCCTGCGACGTCATCAAGACTCGTCTTCAGGTCGAGGCTCGCAAGGGCGAGGCCACCTACACTGGTCTCCGTCATGCTGCCAAGACTATCTGGAAGGAGGAGGGCTTCCGCGCCTTCTTCAAGGGCGGCCCTGCCAGAATCTTCCGTTCTTCCCCGCAGTTCGGTTTCACTCTCGCCGCCTACGAGGTTCTGCAGAACGTTATCCCCTATCCCGGCAAGCCTGAGAGCTCCAAGGTCCACACCGGTGTTGGCGATGCCATCTCTACCTTGAAGGAGAAGCTCGACACTAGCCCCTTTGCCCGCAGCCGCAACGCCCTCAAGATCATCTTGGACATTGATGAGGACTTTGGAAAGGTCAAGGTCCCTAGCCAGGAGAGTTGGAAGAAGCTTCCTGCCTTCATGCAGACGAACGAAAACACCTCTTCATGAGCCTTTGGAACGGATTGGAATAGCCAGAGAGAGCCTCGATGCTTGTCTGGATGAGAAACAAAGAACCCAGAGTCACAAATGGGAAGAAATCGCATATACGGCTGGGGAATACAAAAGTTCTAGAAGAATGAGTCAAAGACAGCGATGACGACACCCTATTTCTCAAAGCGAGTCATTCAAGAAGAAGCTATGTGAGAGGGAGGCTTCTCTTCGATTACGGCAGAGAGATGGAGGTTGAGAGATTTGCATATCCCCTCGACGGCGTTCAAGGGCAGGCATACAAAGGGATTCGTAGCAATTCCTCAATTTTACACTTTCTTTTTCAGTTTTGTTCATTTTGTGTCTTCTAGAAGCCTTTTTTTCCTTCTCCTCTGAAAGAAGTTTCTCCTTGGTGTTGCTGTAACGTGAATTGGTATCGTTGCGTCTCGACTTTGAGAGGGTCACATGTCATGGATACAATGTGTAAGGTACAGACCGTAGTGGTAGAATTCTTAGAATTTCTAGAGTTCCAGCTTAGACTATCTAGAAGGTCTTCAGACGGCTTTTGTTCACACTGAGATGTTTTGAGAAGTGGTCAGGATGCCAACCTGACAACCTGCCAAGCTTGGGCGTCTGAGCAAAGCTAACAAAGCATTGAGCTAGAAGATCTTCAAGGCTTCCAAATTTCTACTAGTGTACTGGATAATATGTCAAGTATATTCCAAGCCATATGTGTACATGTATGACGAGTCTGCTCTAGTCTAGTCTAGTCTTTGATGCTCCTCATCGTCCGCACGGAGAAGCGAATCTCTCTCGTCAGCCTTGCCGTCAGAGCCGCGGTAGAGGATGTAGTGCTGGGTCATGAAGACCAAGTCGTACACCATGGAAACATTGCCCAGCGCGAACTTGACAGGGTTACCGGTGATGCCGGACCAGTCGCGCTGCAGGTAGGAGTCGATTGCCTGCTGCGCAACAGAGAGGAGGCCGCCGGAGAAGTCGAGCAGGATCTGCCAGATGGACCAGCCCTTTGTGGACTTGTTGCGGTAGTTTGTAATGACCTGTGGGGTGTACTTGATGAGGGTGATGACGAGCTTGACGTAGGACACGGCGTAGACGACGTCAAGGGCGCACCAGCTCGTGACGGGGTCGCCGTCCCCCGGGGCGGACGCGACGATGAGGCCGACAACGGCGACGCCCACGATGCAGCCCGAGGCGATGCCCGAGATGAAGCGGCTAGGGTTCGTGCCCGGCGCGGGGGTGAAGCCCCAGAGCTTGGGCACGTACTGCGAGGTGGTTATGCAGGAGAGGAGTAGGGCGTGGGCGGCGAAGGTGATGTCGTTGAAGGCGACTGTCGGGGTGAGGCCGTGGTTGCGCGCGGCGTACTGGGCGCGGACGACGGGGGAGTAGTAGAAGGCGGCGTTAGAGACAAAGTAGGCGAGGAAGCCTGCGAAAGTCGGAGTGTCAGCGCTGTACTTGAAGATTGTCTCTCTTATGTTCTACGTGGTGTCCTGGGTTCTTACCTAGGCAGTTGATCAAGGGAAAGTCGACCGTTGTACCGGCCGTAGTTTTCCTGTGGAAGTTGAGGAGAGGCTGCGGGTAGAAGGAGCCGGACCAGCAGAGAAAGTAAATCCAGCCAAAGACGGCGGATAGGAAGGGGAGAAATTCGAACGCCATGTCGACTATAGCTACTGAAAGCGAGGTTGAGCGGAGTTTGTTGAACTCAGTGAGATGCCCGAATACTGTTCTTTGAGCCTTCTTGCGTTCCCTTCCCGCCGGCACCTTTCGTCGAGGTATGCAGTCAGCAAACCTCCAGTCGTTGGGTTCGTATGCTGTAGGAGGGAGTTTTGTGTGCTGCGACTGGAGGGGAAGGTCGCAAGAAAGTTGCAAATGAGCTGTTCGCCTGGTGCACAGGATTGCGACATGAGACCGACCGCATGGGGGTTAGCGTCTTTGCTGCGCTATTTCGGCGCAGGTACCGACAGGCCAGCGGTCCCAAGGTCAGCGGCCCCACCAGCACCGTAAAAAGGGCCCAGCGGAAATCACTCTGAGCGGCGGGGTGTGGCCCAAGTGACCAGGACGCCGGTAACAAGGTTGCTATGATAGGCGGAGCCAAGAGCCCTCATCCATTCTAATCATCGTCCCTGTGATCCACTACTGCTGGACGTCAGGGGACCCGTGGAGGAGCAGGTGCGAGCGCGGAGTGGAGTCCAGTGTTGTCACCGCGGGGTGTGATGTCGCCATTGACGAGAGCGCGACCACCACAGTAATGAGGTCCGGGGGACGTTTGCTGCGTGCTAGCTAGGAAAGCTCGAATCGTATAGATGCTGTATGAGCTGGCAACTCCAGATCGTATAGAAAGACTCAATCTCGTGCGACCGAAGCTTCCTGGATGCATGGGAGTCTGCTGGTTGCACAATGCCTTGGACTGTACAGGAGTGACGAGAAATCTGAACTCCTAGCATTGGCAGCTGAGATATCACAAACCCCCAAAAGTATGCAATGAAACTCACGGGATTCGACTTTGAGATGACATCGTCCCGACAAGACTGATGTCTTTGCTGCCCTCGATTTCACCGCCGCGGCGCATCACACCCTCAAGCCAGTCCACATAGTCCTCAAACCCTGTGATGCTGCCATAGACCCTGACAGTCTTGACTGCCCGGACCTCCTCAAACACCCGCAGCGCACTATGGTCCGCACTCTGGAAGGCGGCCTGCCACACCTCGACGACGAGCTCATCCACGCCGTTGAATGCTGCCGTCGCGGCCGCGGCATCAAACGCCAGGTCGCAGTCTAGCCGCAGCCGGATGTGGAAGCGGCGGATGCGGGGGAGCACGGAGCGCTCCCGGACGGGCGAGTACCATGGCCGTAGACGCGGAAAGGAGGCGAGAAGTTTGGTGTGCGCGAGGAATACATTGCTGCCGTAGAGAATGGGCGTCCCCTCTGTATGGATTTGCCGGTTTGTGGAAAGGATTGCGGGATGGAGCCGTGCTTGCGGCGAGGACGGGCCGACTCTATCTAGGGGAGGGTGGATGAGAAGGAGAAGGGCGTAGATGTCGAGACGAATTTCGCAAGGTAGGTCTAGGAAGAAGCATCTCGGCGAGGCCATTTTTGAGCGTCTCAATACGGGTTGATTAGAAGATGCTCCTCTGAGCTATGCAAGCGAATAGAGAAGAGGTGGTCACATCAGAACATGTAGTTCAAGTCACTTGTGCAGGGAGGGAGAGTGGTGGTGGCTTTATCAGTTTCAAGATAAGATCCCTAGCGGCTTATTCCCGCAGCCATGGAAGCTACCTAAGGTAACATCTCTATTGGCGATTTCATCAGGGAAGATAAGAGACGATCGTTTCGCCAAGTGCTGATCTTCCATTTGCAGGTACTTGACATTCGATTGCTGTCTTAATGATCTGGCCCAGCAGATAGGGTCAACTTCGACACAAAGTCGCCCGACAGCACATCCGTCCGCCAATAGACACTGCCATTCCGATTCAGAGCATGAAGCTCTGCCTGCATCTATGGAATATCCAAACTGAAGCATCAGCATTATCACTCCGAGCATGATGTTCCAGGATTCAGAGAGCAGCAAGATCTATACATAGGGTATCCATCTATACTATCAAATGACAGTTGGCGTAGCTATTCGAGCCATATAGGCATAGTATTCATCCAACATCGATGACCCACGAGATTACGTGCTTGGCTCCGATTTAGGGACTAGTCCAAGTGTCCGAGTCTCTGGGGTAGTCCAACCAGTGTGGAGCGAAACTACTTGTGCCCCGTTCGATCCCTAGCAAATTGATAGGCGACATGCATGATGCGTTAAATCGGACCTCATGTTCGGCACCCTGAGCTGCAAGCCCCGGAAGGTTGAATGCTTTGTAGCTGTTCAGTCGAAAAGCGAGCAACGTAAGGCGATATGATTTCACGGCCTGTCAACGTCTGAGCTATAAATATTTTGGTTGCTTAATAGATTTCTTCCTTCTGGATAGCGACCCAGGTGATAAATGCAGAAAAAACTCCAATACACACTACCCAACTTGCAATCATAAGCAGTAATAATACAGTGAACACAGTTACAAGGCGCGCGTTGTAGCTCTTTCTGAGAGTCGTGAGCTAACACGTTCAGCTCCCATAGGCACGAGTTCGAGTCTCGTGATATATCCTTGAATCGCAATACCTGAGGCTGGTAAGAGTGTCCAGGAATTTTCGTAAGCCCCCCGTGAGGAGAGCTGAGCTTTTGCGTCGCCTCTTCTCTAGTTGATGAATTGATTTGTTCATGTGGTTGCTTTGCCGGCTTCCTGGATCCGTTCACATGTTACGGTGGCTGGGCCGTGTCGAGGCGGGTATTCGGTTGTATTGTTTGATTGATCTCCTTTCCTCCGGGCACACATGACTCCCTCTGGCTAGGTCATGGTCAACTCGGGGAAGAATCTCGACAACTTATTAGGATGACCAAATTCTGTCCTGCTCTGCGCCTGGTCCTCCACGGGTAGCAGCGAGTCTGTATCGCTATCGGCACTGGGAGCAGCCTGCTCTAGCGCCGCCCGTTTCACCTTGATGTTTCCCTGAACCGGAGGCTTTGATGTGCTGGTTTGCGCGCTTGAGAAGGTCATGATAGACCTGGAGTCTGCCGGTGTTGATATCTCGTGAAGTTGGCTATGTGGCCGGGATTTGCCAACATTAGTAGGCTCAGGGGTGTGGCCGCGAGAAACGCTGAAAGGAATAGTCGGCCCAAGGCTCTTTTTTGCAGCATCAGGAGCTGGCAACGACGTTGCTGCCGGGCTGAGTAGTGCCGAAATCTTCTCGTTTGCCATGAGTCCCTTCGTCTGAACGAAAGCGCTTGATCTGGCGTGGTACGGGCTTCGATCGTAGTACTTGTCAATAATCGGATGAACCATGACAGTTTGGTTGTGAATTGTCAGGATCGAGTTTGTGGGAACGTTGACCCAATTCTCTGTTCCAATTAGCAATAGCCCAAACACCGCGTTACGAAACTCTCAACACGTACCTCTCTCAAACGTCAGCGGTTCACTTGCGACAAGTACAATATCTGCGCCTTTATCTTGGCGTTCCATTTGGTAGTTGCGGTCGGTTGCTGCCGATGTCCTCGTGCCCCATTCAGTGCCTGAAGAGTAGTAGAGACTCGCGGCTTCGTCTGTCGCGCTGCTGATGTATCGAGTGCAAATAACGCTTTTGCCGTCTGTGACAGCAAAGTTGAGTAAGCTTCGAGTGTCGATGTTTTCCGACTGGATCGTGCTCTCCGGGATTTCATCGATCAATTCATTGATTGTGGCGATGGTCTTCAGCATAGCCTTCCTCAATATCGTAGGCCCGAAACCGTGGGCGGGCTGTGAATCCGGGTCGATGCCCATCCTTTCGAGAGTATCGAGGAACAGCGCAAACGCCCATTCACTGTCTGTACCGCCTTGGACCCCGAGGTACCACTTGTCGGCCAATCTCGAACCTAGCCTTCTCTTGATATACTTCCAACCCCCAAGACCACCGTTGTGCATCCACATCAAGCTACCGTGGCAGAATGGGTGGCAGTTATCCTCACTGAGGGATCCCTCGGTCGTTGCTCGTACATGAGCGAAGATGAGTTGGGAAGCGGTCTTGGAGGCGATGCGTTGAAGATTGGTACAATTCCAGGCGGGGATTGTCGAGGTAAAGAGGCAAGGTGCGTGACCGAGCTTGGGATCCGTGTAGAAACCGATTCCGAAGCCATCTGCATTGTTCTGGCCTCTTCGTGTATCCTTTTCGGCCACCGCCAGATATTAGTACGGTACCTAAGCTCTCATGCGCCAGAGTGACTTACCAGTCTGAGCCTGGAGTCAAATGATTGCTTCAGGATAGAATGCGTAGGGTCAAGAATGAGTTTGGAGAGAAGAATCTCGTCGCTTCCCCGATACACCTAGAATCAGTCAGCGGGTGTCCTGTCGGCGCTCAATGACACCGAACTTACCAGGAAGCGACACATGTTGGGCGAGTTGTGTCGGGCAACTCAGAAGGAGTCGAGAAGATGAGGAAGGCGTCGGGGGAAGAATAGTAGGTGTCGCGTGAGCAATGCAACTTTGTCTTCGATGGGGTCTTGACTGTTCTTAAACAACAGCAACAGAAACCCAGAGAATGTGACTAGAAGTCAAATACGAATTCACGAATAGGAGACGTCGGAGGAAGTGTTTGGCCAGATTTATTCGTTTGATGAGCTATGGCGCGATCAGAAACCCCAGGGCGGTGGCGCAAGTTGATAGGGATGAGGTAGCTACCAGCTGAATGCTAGAGCACGGAGTACCGAACAAGTCAGGTACGTGGGTGGGTGGGGGAAGTTGAGCTGAGGCCCGTGCCGGTTGAAAACACACAAGGCAAGAACTGGGCGTTGTATAAAGTGGTGGGTATTGCTGTTAATCTAAATGAATGACTCCCAGCGATTGCCCCTTCGTTTGGGACTCCGGTTGCTTTTCCGAGCGCCTTGGTGAAGTCTCAGGGTTCAGATGGGGATGAATAAGGCAAGATGTACGGAGAACAGTGAGTCATTTGATGAGGGGTGGTATACGCAAAGCTGGTCAGCTGCTTGAACATGGATGGCTATTTTCGAATAATTTCTTGCCCACCCAGGTGCAACTGGAGATCCAGCGCCATCGGAGGGACATTGGAGCTGTGTCTTCTACCTATGTGCCCTATCCAGGGCGTTTGGGTATGACGAAGGCGATAAGATAAGGCTTTATGCGAAGAGCGATAAGAGAAAGCCATGCTGCGACTTAAAGTAAGGTAATGTGTAGTTGTGATGGTGCATACCTAGGTACACAGTACTACTGGTTAGGAGCCAGCAGGGAGGTGCCTAGGTGCTCTTTTGGGGAAGATGGACGGTACGTCAATGCCAGGCGGTCCCCACTAGGTAGGTGCCTTAGTGAAATGGGCTCTTCATGCAACCCGCGAGAACCCGCTTGATTTCCATTCACGCCGCTTCTCATTCGTCCCCGATTCGTGGCATGTCAACGGATTTCTGATATTCAAGTCTCTTGTCAGGCCGGAACCTTTGGCGAAACCCACACCAACTATCACCACCAAAACCACACCGCTTCTCCATCTCGGACATCCGAATATCTGGCTTTCCCACTCGAATTTCCGTCTCGCATGCGAAGAACACACCACCGCCTCAAACTTCACGCGTCCCGTGCTTCGCCGGCAGCATGAGCGGACGTCTCCTGGCCGCAGGGCTTTCGCCATTGACGCGACGCGCTCCAGTCCAGGCCGTTCGACACTTTCACCGGTTTCCCGCAGGCGGGCTTCAGCGAGCAGATGCAGCTGTGCGTGCTACGCAACGGCGCATGTGGTTTCCTGGCAACGCCTTCCACAATGCCGTCGTCGTGCGGAATGCGTCTTTTGCCCGCTTCCTACCGAAGTTGGTTATCAAGTTTGCTAGAATCCCCGCAATGTTCGGCGGCCTAGCTGTCGGAACACTCGCCTGGATTCAGTATCAAGCCAACCGTACGTACTGGGTTTCTCTTCGCGTCAAACAAGTTGCCCCTGCTAAACAAGTCACTCACAGAGCTCACCACCAACGCCTGGGATATGGTCAGCAAAACAGCAGATGGTATTTCGGAAACGACGTCTAGTCTCTTTGGAGGTGCCAAAGGAATTATGGATCAAACGATGCGCGGTTGGGAAAACACAAAAGAACAAATCGAAACCCCCGAATGGCTTCAAAAGGTGTTGCGTATCCATGAAGACATTGGCACTGGTGGCGGCGGCTCAGGAGGACCTGGAGGGGAGCAACCCAAGCAGAGCAGAGCCGGGGTGGCTGTTGTTGCAGGAGGCTCGGCTGCTGCGTACGGCTACGATCAATCTTCAGAAGACGACCCGCGAGAACCCGATGAGGTGGCCAATGACGACCAGATGATGATCCTCACCAAGAAGATGATCGAGATTCGGAGCATGCTCCAGCAAGTTGGACAATCGAGCACTCTGACGCTCCCCTCAATTGTTGTCATCGGTTCGCAGTCCTCAGGAAAGAGCTCCGTCTTAGAAGCCCTCGTTGGCCACGAGTTCCTGCCCAAGGGAAGCAACATGGTTACTCGCCGGCCCATAGAACTGACCCTCGTCAATACGCCTGAGTCGGACGCAGAATATGGCGAATTCCCCGACCTGGGTCTGCGACGCATCACCGACTTTTCCTCGATCCAAAGGACCTTGACTGAGCTTAACCTAGCCGTGCCGGATACTCAGTGCGTATCTGATGATCCCATTCATCTTACCATTTACTCGCCAAATGTACCGGATCTGTCTCTGATCGATCTACCCGGATATATCCAGGTGGTTGGCCAAGGCCAGCCTCTGGAATTAAAGCAGAAGATATCAGAGCTATGCGACAAGTACATTCAGTCTCCTAATGTCATTCTGGCCATCTCCGCCGCAGATGTAGATCTCGCAAACTCGACCGCACTACGTGCAAGCCGCCGTGTGGATCCCAGAGGCGAGAGGACTATCGGCGTGGTTACCAAGATGGACTTGGTGGACGCTCCTCGCGGTGCTGCCATCCTGAGCGACAAGCAGTATCCC